GCCCCGCCTCTGTCATATTTAAGCTAATAAATGTGACATTAAGCCCCACCCCTGCCTTCTTTCAGCTCATAAGTGTGAGGTTAAGCTCCGCCTCCTTCTTTTTTATTTTATTGCTGTGTTTGGTTGCCGTGACGTTGCTCAGTGAAGCAACAGCTCTGCTATAAATACCCGAGTCGTAGCAGAGGCTCAGCTGGCAGGACACCCTGCAGAACCTCACCACTGGTACCAGTTCTTCTTCAGAGCTGTTTTCTTCTCTGCGGGGGGGTTTCCACAACACTTTTTCTCAGGTTTTGCAGGTTTCTGATTTCACTCCTGAATGTGAGCAGAGTAACCGGACCCGGAGGTTCCGCTCTCTGTAGCCATGGGAGACTTCTGGGGAGATATCGCCAGTCAGAGGGTGGCCAGAGGGATCTCAGCGGTAGGTTTTTGTATTTTGAGTGTGTCCGTGTTGCAGCGGTTTGTGCTGGTTCTGACCGGGACAAGAAGTTGGACTGTTCTGTGGATTAACGGCGCTCAGAATACCGGAGGAAATGAGACGTCTGTTCTCGGTGACAGAGAAACAAACATCCTGCTTCTTAACACAAACATGGAGCCAGTCAGCTCAGAATGTGTTTGTCTGCCAGAAACTATTCTCAGTTCCTCCTCAGTTTGTACGTGTTTGAGCTGTGAGTCACGAGACCGGCCTGTCAGGGTCCAAACGGAACACCTGGTGTTTCCTCCAGCTCTAACCGCTAAAGGTGCTGCAGCCGGTGCCGGTCATCGGACCACTGGACAAACCTGCAGCACACATTGAAAATATTAGAAATGGTGAGGGCTTCTTCTTTAAGGAGCTCATGTTGAGTCTTCATGGACTCCTGAACTGAACCAGAACCTCCAGGTTCTGAAAACCCGATCATCCCCTGGTTCTGTCAGCCTGGAATCTGTTTGAAGACCACACCATCTGCAAGAATCACAGGTTCTACAGGGACCATGGTCAGGAAACTTCTGCTGGTCCACCTCGTGGACTGGACCTCCTGAAGCAAGTGTCCCGCTGCACCGCAGCCACCGGTTCATGTTCTGACCCGAACCCTGAGAAGGCGTTGGTGTTGGTGCAGTCAGGTGGATCGTTTTATTAAACCGTGAAGCCTCGACTCAGCACTTCTTCAGACCGGATCAACTTCCTGAACGTCTTGAGTTGAACAATAACCGAAGCAACGCCGAGCGTGAAAAAGAGAAGCAGAAGCAGCCGAGGGCCACTTTTCTCCACTTCCTCTTCGTCTCTGAGGCGTCATGTGACCTCTGTCGCCATGACAACCGCAAGGAGGACTCCTCCGAGCTGAGGCAGTAATTAACAGGACGGGTCCATCAGAACCATCACGGACGGGTCCATCGGAACCATCACGGACGGGACGGGTCCATCGGAACCATCACGGACGGGTCCATCAGAACCATCACGGACGGGACGGGTCCATCGGAACCATCACGGACTGGTCCATCAGAACCATCACGGACCGGACGGGTCCATCAGAACCATCACGGACGGGACGGGTCCATCAGAACCATCACGGACGGGACGGGTCCATCAGAACCATCAC